CTGACTCAGCCATCAGAACACACTCCAGCCCAACGACCTCCGTTTTATTGCCGGACGTTAACTTTCTAGGGACTTGGGTTGGAGGAGATCCTCTTGATTCAGCGCAGCACACAAGTCTTTTCTCGGCAAACCGTCCTGCAATTGAAAACAAAAGTAAATATGTTTGCATTGCAGTGCCTTATTGCATTTTAGTGTGCCCCGCATTAGTTTGATAATCTCTACATTTAGATTGTAGACATATACTTTCAAAGTAGACAGTTACACGTCTCATGTATAACTTTCAGTTTCTGTTTTAGTACCAAAATGTATGACCACGTTATCGGTACAAAGGACATAATGACTAACGTTCAGTTGTATAGCATCAAGTTGAGATAAAAGTCCAGAGTCCTGGCACAAGTTTCCTTTTCTTACACATTTGTGATAAAAAAAGAAATGTATGCACATCTGCCACATACAGGCAATAATATTTTTTTATAGAAAAATAGTAAATGTTAATTCATAAAAAATGTGCAATATAACATTAACATCAAATGTGTCAGAGGGAATCTGGGGGACGGATCTGCACCATAAACTGTGTCCAGGACGATAAGCAGACCACAACATGAGCAACACAAGCTGTTCTCCATTCATTACAGCCTATACGTTTTCCCCACCAATGTGGGCGTTTTTTTGGGGGGGGAAACTGTTTTCCACCTTCCCACTGTGTGGAAGGACGTCGACATAACACGAAAGATTTGGTTTACTTTACAAATATATATAAAGCTACAGATGCCCCCCGATGGCTAGTGCACTGCTCCACTTGGCGTGCTACGTAAGCACTTGGCTAACACTTTTAGCGCCCAGTTGAGCTTCACCTGCCTAGCCAAGAGCAACCAACAAAGTCGGGGTGGACCACCACGTCAAAATGCATGGCTAAAGCCTGCAAAGCCGGCCCATCTTGTCCCTCACCTAAACCGCCATTCACTGTGCCTTCCCCCCCTCCCCCTACCATCTCCAACTGGTATTATATGCAAAAGAAACTGCTCAATATTGGGAGTTGTAGCCCCCCAATAAGCATCCGACGGTTGTTAGCCTATCTAAAACAGCTACATATAGCCAGCATAGCCGCTAGTTAGCTGGCTACGTTGGTGGGGGGGAGACTGGTTAACGACAAACAGTATTGTGTTAGCGGCTAATATGTTTGCGAATATAGCGCGCTAACTAGCTTCGGTAGCGAGCAATTAGCGGGCTACGTTGCCGACTACTAACCAAAACCGCCCCTTAAAAGTGCACCACCGCCCCGGGAAAAACGCATCTTTCGGGTGGGTAAATAAACGAAGCTTTTCCCTCCCCACCGCCGCCTCTCGGATAACCGCTCAGCAACGCGGAAATCCTCGTTGTGCGCAGATTTACCGGGCCATCTTGTCGCGCCGCCACACCGCCACTTCCAGCTAGCCCAGATTAGTGTCCGCTCTAAAATGGCTGCCGCTAGTTAGCATCGCAGCAACGGCAACCTCGGCTACCGCCCTTCAAAAAAATAACTTCATCTTGTGCCACGTCTTCTTGCAAAAAAAAAAACACGACCCGGTGGTGGGACGACGATGACGACCACCACCACCGTGTGAACCCCCTCCCCGAAAAAAAACACAAAAAACAGCGCCGTCCGCGGCTCTTTATAAGCGGACGTGTTTATATTTAGCAACGACGCCGTCGTTAGCCAGCTAAAAACAAAGATGGCTAACGCACAGCACAGCGGAGCGGCGCGAGCGGTTTTCACGGGGGGTGAAAAGCCCGGGAAATGCTAACCCCGTTTTTATCCCCAACGGCTACGGACAAAAGAAAACACAAACACACACCCCGCTCCCCGGGCTTAACCACTTAAATAACCCCGGTATAAAACCACGCACTCGGGCTGAACACAAACAGAAACACGAGGTCCGAGTCGGGGGGAGAGAAAAAGCAAAGCCCTGCCTTTTAAAATGCGGCAGCGGACGGCGCGGCCTCCAATGGCGGCGGCGGCGGCCTTGCGGGGCGTTAGCTACGGCTACACGGCTAGCTAGTTAGCTCGCTAACCTAGCGAGCTAGCCTCAACCGCCACCAGGCTAACTAGCTAGCTGGCTAACGGCTACAAGCGGCTTCGCTAGCGCGGCTAAACCCGCCGCTTCAAGCCGTCCTGGCAGGCGAGCAGGACGGAAGCCACCGGCGGCGATGATGATGATGGGGGTGGGGAGGGGGGGGGAGAGGGGGAGAGAGAGGGGGAGAAGAAGCCGCCCATCCGACCACGTTATTAACTCGCTAAGTTTTCTTTTTTTAGGACGGCCATGGCCACATTGAAACAAAAGCACACACACATACAAAAAGTAAAATGGCGTTTTTTCTTCCCCCCGGTGTGCCGGACAATTGACGCCACTAAAATTGTTGTATTACCACGCGTGACGCTGCCACGGAGCGAGGGGGGGAGAAAGGGAGAGAGAGAGGGAGAAACGGGCCTGGCGTGGTGTATTTTTCCACTACCGTACACACACACACACACACACACACACAGTGTGCTGTCCCCGTAACGGGGAAATGAGACGCGCACGCCGCCACCGGACCTCAGCGTGAGGCGGCGGCGGCGGTGGCTGCCGTCCCCCCGTCTCTCCCCCCCCCCCGCCGTCCCCCGTCCTCCCCCACCCCCCTCTCGGTCCACGGGACCCTCCGCGGTTCATCCTAATCCGCGTACAAAGCTTGGCGGCGCGGGGCGATGGTGGTAAACTTGGTGGTAATCGCGAGATGTCTCGAAAAGAAACCCTCCACCTCCTCCTCCTCCTCCTCCACCTCCTCTCTCTCTCTCTACGCCGCGTTAAACACCCACCTTTATATCAGTTGTTGTTGTTGTCGTCGGTGGTGTCTGTGGTGGTGACGGTGTCGCTGTCGGTTTGCAAAGCTTCAACACTAAAAAGAGTGGAGATAGCTTACGGCTGGTCTGCGCTTCTTCGTCAAACTGGCGAGTCTTCCTCTCTCTCTCTCTCGCTCGCTCGCTCTTCTCTCGCTCTCTCTCTCCTCCCTCTCTCTCTCTCTCTCTCTCTGTGCAGCTCGCGCCACAGCTCGTCTGGCGCCAACGATGGAGAAACCGACACACTTTAGGGGACGTATCCGCGGCGCGGGAACTGGCACGGCGGCCCTCTAGCGCCGCCCGCAGCCTCGGAGGGCCGCTACTTCGCACTTCGTCAAATGAGTCCAATTAATAGGAAATTTAAAAAATGTATTTTGCAAAAATTCAATGACACTATAGGCCTGTATTACTGTATTTGTTGCTATGCATACCACATCATACCATATCATATCATGCCATAGCATATTATCCTATGACCTACATCCCACTATACTATCCTATCTTATCTTATCTTATCTTATAACGCTATACTATACTATACTATACTATACTATACTATACTATACTGTATACACTATACTATACTGTGCTACTGTGCTGTACTTTACTATACTATACTGTATACACTATACTATACTGTGCTACTGTGCTGTACTTTACTATACTATACTATAAACTATACTATATTATACTTTACTATACTATACACACTATACTATACTGTACTACTGTACTGTACTTTACTATACTATAAACTATACTATATTATACTTTACTATACTATACTGTATACACTATACTATACTGTACTACTGTGCTGTACTTTACTATACTATACTATACTATACTATAAACTATACTGTATTATACTTTACTATACTGTACTATACTATACTATACACTATACTATACTGTACTACTGTGCTGTACTTTACTATACTATACTATAAACTATACTGTATTATACTTTACTATACTGTACTATACTATACTATACTGTATACACTATACTATACTGTGCTACTGTACTTTACTATAACTATAAACTATACTATATTATACTTTACTATACGATACTATATTATTTTGTTTGTTTTATTTTGTAACCCTAAGCGGACTAGAAAGCTAAACAAAAAAGCATACTACTTTGTATTTGTAGCCTAAATAATCATGATTTAGTGATTTAAAGTGACACAAACAATGGCAAGCCGAATTATACAATTCTTATGAGATATTTAAGTTAAGTACACCGTGAGGGACCTTAGTTTCAGTTTAGCCGTTCGTTTATTTTAAATTTATTTTCTTTTTACATGTATTAAACCCCTCTGTTGGTGAATGACGGTGTATGTGTGACACCACACCTTCACCAGGAGAACTGGTTTGGCCAAATGAAACACACCCCATAACTAGCATTCATGTCATACAGTCTGAGTTTCACTCAAGCTGCCCACATCTCTCACTCCGTCTCAGCTTTGTGAAGGATACGACGGGAAACACTGCTCATCCTTCGTTGTTCTTCATTTCACCTTCCATCATCAGACCAGTTTTTGATTTATTTGATACAGTAGTGTTCAGCCGGGGACCTCCAAACCTGACAATCAGCTCAACAACCATCAATTTGTAATTCTGCTAAAAGAAAACAAAGAAGATGTCCCACCCGAGCACCCTGGATTTGGACCGCTACAGCAGCATGAATAAGACCCAGACGCGCCGCTCCACCACCACAACACACGCCAAGACCAGGAGCCTGTCCCGGGGCCAGGCCAAGACCGGGGACGTCATGTGTGACTTCTGCACCAGAAAGGAGCGGGCGGCGTTGTCGTGCCTGGTGTGCCAGGCCTCCTTCTGCGAGGACCACGTCCAGACTCACTACGAGTACCCGGCGCTGATGAAGCACAAGCTGGTGAAGGCCACGGGTCAGATGAGGGAGAAGCTCTGCGCCCAGCATGACAAGCTGCTGGAGGCCTACTGCCGCACTGACAACACGTCTGTGTGTGTCCTCTGCATGATGGATGAGCACAAACACCACGACACCGTGCCCGCCGGGACAGAGAGGACCGAGAAGCAAGTGAGTGGATCTTGAATAATGATACGAGTCGTATTTAGTTGTTTAGCAGCAGACGCATTAATCTTGCTCGAAGCAAGCTGCAGACACTGGGGATCGAACCCAGGACCTTTCGACTGGGAGTCAAACATTTAGCACCAGACTATCTTTTTATTTGAAATTAGTGCTTGGAGTTGTTTATTTACATCTTAGGCATTTGAAAATAGTCCAATTTGCAAACTATAGCGCCATATTGTGTATATTATAACTTGGTTATTAATTGGTCGTTATAAATGGTCATTTTTGTTGTCCCTCTCCAGAAACAGCTTGGCAATACGCTTCACAAATCTCAACAGAGGATTGACGGGCGAGTGAAAAAGTGGCAGGACCTCAGACAAGCTGTGGAATCAGTAAAAGTGAGTGTGAAGTCGTCGTCTCAGGAATCCAGAGAGAAATACTTTCCATCTGATCAAAGCAGAGAAGAGTCAGTTATCTCCCAAGAAATGTCAAATATAATAACTAACCTTTCGTGTATCCTTTGTTTTTATGTAACTGAGCAGCATTCGGCCCAGACAGCCTCGGACGAAAACGAACGGATCTTCACTGAGATCCTGCGCTCGGTGGAGAGGAAGTTCACCGAGGTGCGCGAGATGATCGAAACCCACGAGAAGATCACGGTCTCCAGGGCCGAGATACTGCTGGACCGCCTGGAGGAAGAGATAACCCTGATGAGGAAGAAGCACAACGACCTGGAGAAGCTCTCGCACACCGACGACCACATCCACTTCCTCCAGGCGAGTCTCGTTCTGCTCTGACCTGCGGGAACCACGCACGCGGGAGAAGTCTGCCTTCAGGTCTTTCTGGCAGAAAGGGCTCTCTGGCAGAAAATGCAGGTTCAGGCAACACAACTATGGCTACTTGGTTAGGTTTAGGGTTAGGCAGAAAGCCCTGAAGACCAATCACCCGGACCACCATCTCACAAAGTCTAACCCAGGTTTCAGTCTTTTAAATGAGCAATAGTCTTAATAGATAATGGTTCGAGTCTTAAACAATCAAGAAGAACCGGTATGGTGTTTCATCTGTCCAGTGGTTGATTTTGTTTTAGAAACCAGCTTCTGCATCACTAGTATTTGTTTTGTAGTGGCGCCAATATTGATTGTCAGATATGATTGTTCTCAGCTTCACCTGTATGTCACTTTGGATTAAAAAAAGTGTCTAAGCTACATCTAAAATCTATGTTCGCTTTCACTTTTGTTTCTTTGACCACAGAGTTGGCAGGCTCTGTCAGGTCCGTCGGGATATGAGGACCTGAACAACATCGTCGTAGCTCCCAACTACTCCTTCGAGGCCGCCAAGAGAGCCATCGCTTCCCTGAAGCGGGAGGTGGAGGAGGCCAGCAAGGCAGAAACCAGCAAGATCTCTGCTGCAGGTTTGCACATTTCACTGCCATTTAACACTGTCTTACTTATTTGGGTGGAAATTAGTTGACATTGAAACAAATATATCCTTCACCTGTCCCCTGTAGTGAAAGAGGTGCACATTACAAAACAAGTGGACAAAAAGACAGACAGAGCCGATGATGCCGACACAGTGGTGGTGAGTGAGCCACGACGGGAACCACAACTACAACAACAACAACAACAACAACAACCAAGGACCAGACAAGATTTCATGAAATGTGAGTTATGTTACAGTTTACTGCTTTTCTTTGTCAAACCTATAATTTAGGGACAGAATAGTCCAAAGGGGAGAGTGTTTCACTCAGAGCTGAAAGGTTTCGGTATGCTGTCCCATTCCCTATAGGCATTCCTGAGCAAGAAGCCCTTTCCCTACTCCTTAATAACTTGCATCGGTGTCCTGTCCACTGGAGTCGGTTTTGATGCAAAAACAAAATATTGTTCACCAAGTATAGTTGTAGGTCTATCTGTAGTGTCACAATCAACTAAGCCACAGTTCAAGTTGAACATTACAGACTCGGGCTATCTGTTAAACACAACAACAAACAACAGCCCTGTAGGCCGCAGTAAGACAACAGAAACTAAACTCATAGAACAGGTTTGAGGAAATGTCTGGAATCAATTTGAAGACTTGGCATCAACTAAACAAATATAGGTGTATGTTTGAGACAAAGCTAGAGAGTAGAATACTATTTGTTTAAGAAATTATCAAACATAATTATATGTCCTTATTGCAGTTATATAATATAATTATTATAATAATTATTTGCCAAAGGAATGTGTTCATTTAAATGTGATGATCCTGTTGACCAGTTTCTATCCTTACCCAGCCAACAATAACACCTTGATCTCTCTCACCACCAATTTATTTAGGAAAAATAATGATAAAAAAGAATAACAACTAATGATATCCAAGACAATAATACAACTGACAATGACCGTCTTGACTCCCACTGTGTTGTGAATGATGTATTAATAGTCAATACACATGGAGGAGAATAACTATATCTCTATATATTTCTGTATCTCTCTCTTTCTATATATACACACACACACACACACACACACCAGCACCATGGCTACCTGCCTCGCATTACTGGTTTCTCTGTCTGGAAGCTAAGCGGGGCGGGGCTGGTCTGGTCCATCCTTAGATGGGAGACCAGATGGTGCTGGTAGAGGTGTTGGTGCACCAGTAGGGGGTGCTCATCCCTCTGGCCTATCTAAGATCCCCAATCCCCCAGGACAGAGATGGGGACTCTGTCCTGTCTAGAGCACCATCTTTCGGATGAGACATTAAAACCGAGGTCCTGACTCCCTGTGGTCACTAAAGATCCCATGGCACTCATCGCAAGAGTAAGGGTGCTAACCCTGGTGTCTTGTCCAAATTCCCAACCTGGCTCTTATGGCCACCTCATCATCCCATGGGCTCTAATTGAATAGTTTCATTCCTCTCCACTGTGAGAGCCAGTGTGTGGTGAGAGTTTTGGTGCATACTGGCTGCTGTGCATCACCCTGGTGGGTGCTACACCCTGGTAGTGGAGATGAGGTGTCATATCCCCCCCACACACACACTATGTAAAAAAGTGTCTTGAAAAGACACCCAAAGCAAATGCAAATGCAAAAAAATATATAATATTCAAAGGAGAGTTTGACAGCATATCTTTATACTTCTTTAGCTCCATGCCTCGTCTGTTAACGATGAGAACCAGGCGAGGTGACATAAAGCTTCAGGACGGGCATTGAGCAAGGCATTGCGGCGCTGTCAACATGTTGTTGTGCCGTGTGTTTCCAGATTCATTGCAGGTGACCCTGGACTCCAACACCGTCCACTCTAATCTTCACCTCTCCGATGGGAACAGGACAGCCACCATGGTGCAGGACCCCAAGAAGTACTCCAGCCACCCTGACCGCTTTGACCAATGGCAACAAGTACGACCTCTGGCTCCTTCATATCGGCCTACTTAATTAGATGCCAATTTATTGGTTCCAAGTATCTGCCAATTTATTAGATACTTATATAAAGTGTAAAATATATACATACAAAATATATATATTTTATCTCTCTCTCTCTCTCTCTCTCTCTATATATATATATATATATATATATATATATATATATATATATATATAAAACATATATAAAATATATATGTATAAATATATAATATATATATATATATATATAAAGTAAATATATATAAATATGTAAAGTGTAAAATATGTACATTAAAACAATATTATATATATATAAAATACATATATATATAAATATATAATATATAAAGTAAATATATATATAATATATATATAAAGTTGGCAGATACACTTTATATGGGTGATGCATTCTAATTGTAATGCTGTGAATGGACAGCAGGTGGCAATGTTGAGCTTGTTAGGTGCACTGATTTACAAATATGAGAATATGATTGGCTGACTTCCCTTTTCCCAAATGAAAACACAAGCACCAAAATAACATGTGTAACTCCTCATATGAATTATGACATTAATTAATAATAACTATTACACTGACTAACTGACTGTAAATCTTTATTTATTTGTTTCTTCATAATAATAATACTAAGTGTCCCCCTCCCACAGGTGCTGAGCAGGGAGAGTGTGAGCAGTGGTCGTCACTACTGGGAGGTGGACTGGAGGGGGACGGAGACGGACATCGCGGTGACCTACAGGGGCATCAGGCGCAAGGGCAGCGGCAACGAGTGCAGCCTGGGCTGGAACGAGCAGTCCTGGAGCCTGTACTGCTCGCAGGCCAAGTACTCCTTCGTGCACAACAACCGCAACACGGACCTGGAGGTGCCCAGGTCGTCCCGGGTCGGGGTCTACCTGGACTACAACGCGGGCCTGCTCGCCTTCTACAGTGTGTCCGAGGGGACGCTGCACCTCCTGCACCGGGTCCAGGTCTCCTTCACCGAGCCGGTCTACCCCGCCTTCAGTGTGTGGGGCTTCGGGTCCAGCATCAAGCTGTAGTGCTAGGTAGGCCAGGCTGGGACAAGAGCATTCATTCACTTAGTTACTGTCGTTTTTATTTTTGTGTTTTTTTTTAGTTTTTTTTTTTACTTTTGTATTCGTATATTTCGTATGTCCATCAGAAATGTTTACTTTTGAAATCCCTACTGTAAGTATTTAGAGTGACCTTTCATTCATTCTTTATCTGTGCTAAGCTTTATTGAGGCTACTTTCGGATTTTGTTGTATTTTGTTTATTTATTATTATTATTATTATTATTATTATTATTATTATTAATAACCCTAACCCTATTCTTTTTTTTTCTTTTTTTCTGGACCTGGTGATTGGTCAGGGTTGGGGGGGGGGCGATAGTCTATGGGGGAGGGTTTGTGGTGTGGCAATACAATATTTTAACAAAACTGTAACTGTATTCATCTTCGAATAAAACATTTTGGGGAAAAAAAAAAAAAAAGATATTTGTTGCAATAAATTGTAAATGTGCATTACTACATACATACATACACAGACACACACAGGCCTACATAACCCCTGGCCTACGCATTAAACAGGCTTGAATGAATGAATGAATGAATGAATGAATGAATGAATGAATGAATGAATGAATGCATGCATGCGTACGGGGCGGTTGCTGCACCCCGGGGAGCCATGCGTAACCCCGGCGTGGAGAGAGGGTGTCATGTATGAAATGAACACTATATTTCACTGGCGCGGTTACCCACTACGTGTA